GGATGACATGATGACATGGAAATATTACAGCACAACATCAATATACTGCGAGAATATGATTCAATAAATACCTGAGAAAATGATTGAAATGTAGCAGAGAAAATGGGAGAGGCCAAGAGTGAGTTTCAACGTGAAGCCAATAAACTCAAGAAAGACACAAAGAGGAGGAAGAAGAGCAAAGGAAAAGAAAATATCAGCAAGACTTGACTTTCTTGGGATGTTTTGGTTTTCTACTCAAAGGAAGGAAAGATAAAGCTAACAAGACTAAGAAGTGGACTTAAGCTAGATGAATTCGAACAGAGTTTTTGGGTTCTTTATGAAAAGAGATCATTGTAGAGAAAACTAAAAATGAAAGCTTTATGTAAAGAGATGATTTTGAAATACTTTTTTTTTGCCAATGATGGTGAGATTATGGTTCATGTGTTATGATATATAGATGAGATGAAAGTGGTTGATTTTCCTAGGCTAAAGGCTCATGAAAGTGCCTCTCAGGACGATGGACTACGTGTTATAAACTAATCCACCCTAATGGTAAAAGCCTCTTCGCTTAGTCACATTTAGGATTCGTGGTTAGGCATTTCATCCAATGATTAAGGTAGCTTTATTACCAAGTCCATCAAAACCACAAGTATTCATAGAACCACCACTAAGTGGCTATGTGATCCAAGCTTATAAAAGAGTTTGTCAAGCATCTCTCCAAACTTACTAGTGAGAGAAAACCTTAAGATCTAGATCAAGGGTGATCAAGTCTCAATCTTCCATTAAAAACTCTCTAAGTCACTACAAGAAAACAGGGTCGTTTCCGACGGCTAAAACCGTCGGAAATCCGTCGGAATAACTCTTATTCCGACGGTTTTGGTCCGTCGGTTCTATCTCGTCGGAAATACTGACGGATTTCCGTCGGAAAAGGGATAACCGGAATCCGTCGGAAATACTGACGAATTTCCGACGGAAAAGGGATAACCGTAATCTGTCGGAATTCCGTCAGTAGTCCGTCGGATTCCAATTACCGACGGATTTCCGACGGCATGATTTACCGACGGAGTTCCGACGGCCAGAACTTCAGACGAATTTCCGACGAAGGTGGTAACCGACGGATTTCCGACGGATTTATTA